TGCTGCACTGTCCGGCTCTTCTCCCCGCACTATGCCCGCGCTTTGCCTCAGGCCGCGCGCCCACAAGCGGCGGCGGCGACGGCAGCAGCAGCAGCAGCAGCACCAACAGCCGATGGCATGGACACTTTCGAATGCTAACCATTGGCGCAAACCACCAGCACCAGCACCATCGTCATTTGCACTGGCGACCGGCAAAGGCGCGCCAACAGCAACATCGACAACAACGACAATAACAACAGCAACGACAGCAACGACGACAACAGCGACGACCACAACAACGGCGGCGGCGGCGGCGGCGGCAGCGGCGGCGACGGCAGCAGCAGCAGCAGCGGCGGCGTCGGCGGTATCGCCGAGCCACACGAACCCGCTGGGGACGCTGCGCTCGCACCACAAAGGGACGTACACATTCCCGTCGCAGCAGGAGCCGACGTACCCGCCGCCGGCGTCCGCAAACCTGATGCAGCTGTACTACGCCTACTTCCACGCGTCGCACCCCTTCTGCCTGCCGCCGGCCTACCTGATCAAGACGCCCATCACGCAGCTGCAGGTGCTGCTGCCCGTGATGCGCTTCGTGGCCTCGTTCTTCGCCAAGGCCGCGCCCACCGAGCCGTTCTGCCGCGAGGCCGAGCACGCGCTGTTCGGCAGCACGAACCCGCCGCCGGGGCGCGACGCGTTCACGGTGCAGGCGCTGCTGCTGTTCGCGATCGGGCTGCACAGCATGGGCGAGCAGGCGCGCGCGGCGCAGGTGAAGGACATCTGCGCGGAGCTGGCGCTCGAGCTGGGCATGAACCGCAAGGAGTTTTCGGAGGGCGTCGCGGGCGCGGGCGCGGACGGGGACCCGGGGAAGAAGGTGCTGGAGGAGAGCTGGCGGCGCACGTGGTGGGAGCTGTACTTCGTCGACGGCATCATGGCGGGCGAGCAGCAGCGCGACAACTTCAAGCTGTGGAGCGTCGAGTGCACGGTGCCGCTGCCGTGCGAGGAGCTCGACTACGCCGCCGGCCGCATCCCGGAGCCGCACTCGCTGCAGGAATTCGACGACCGCTACTTCGCGGCCGAGGACACCGTGTTCAGCAGCTTCGCGTACCGCGTCGAGGCGATCCGCATCCTGGGGCAGGTGCTGAGCGTGAACCTCACGGGCACCGCCGACGAGATCCGCGCGGACGCCGCGGACGCCAGCATCGCGAACTGGGGGCTGCACCTGCCCGAGGCCAAGAAGGAGCTCGTCAAAGGGCGCGAGCGGCGCGTGGACGAGATGCTCTTCCAAGCGCACATGGTGATAAACGCGTAAGCCATTCCCGCCCCCTCTTCCCCCCTCCTCTTCTCCACTAACACCACCAACCACCAGCGTGATCATCCACCTCAACCGGCCCAAGTCGCACCTCGCGATCCCGCTCGTCGCGTCCGAGACCAGCGTCACGCCGGCGCCGCACTGGATCACGCCGCGCAAGCCGCTGGCGCTGCACACGGCGCGCACGATCGCGGCGGCGAACACGCTCGCCAAGCTGGCGACGCTGCCCACGCCGCTGATCAAGCACACGCCGTTCCTGACCAGCTCGATCGCGCTCGCCTGCGTCGTGCACCTCGCCGCCTGCAGCTGGCTGCTGTCCGGCGACGAGGGCTTCCTGGCCAAGGAGCGCATCCGCCTCGCCGTCGGCGCCCTCAAGGCGCTCGCCCGCGTCTGGCGCCTGTCGCTCGAGGTGCTCGCCCAGCTGAAGGCCGTCGCCAGGGAGGTGTTCAAGGCCGACCCCGAGGGCGGCGTCACCGAGGAGGAGGTCATGCGCTTCTTGGAGGAGGAGGAGGTGGCCGATTGGGGTGGCGGTGCCGGAGACGGCGGAGAGTGGGCCGCTGGCGTGGAGGCTGAGTGGGATGGGAGGTTTGGTTTGGGGTTTGAACCGACTTTTAGGGGATAGGGGATAGGGGATATAGGTAGGGGATAGACGGCGTGGGGCGGGGTGCTTCTTCTTCTCTTCCGGAGCGAGTTTTCGAATTTGGGACGGGTTTTCATGGGTTTGGAGTTGTTGTTTTTCTTTAATTCGGTGCGCAATACATACGATGAGAGAGGGATTGGGGAGGGGGGGAAATAATACCCATTGACGCCACATTGATGCTGTTTACCGCAAACAGCGAGTGATATACCATGCATCATTCGTCACACGAAAAAAGAGTGATAAGCCATGATCTCGAGCAATGTATCCTGCAAAATCCAATCGATAAGGTAATGTGCGCCATTTCAATGCCTGATACCAACCATCTACAACATCGCTAGAGCGAGAAATCCCCACCGAAAAACCAGAAAGCGACAACCAACAAGCAAGCAAGCAAGCACCATCCCATCCATCCTCACATCCCTAAGCCTACCTCTCCTTCCTCCCCGAAAAAAACCTCAACAGCCTCACACCGCCACCGGCACCCACATCTCCCGCCGATCCCCTGCGCGGCCCCGCCTTGAGTTCCTTCGAATCCCGCCGTCCCATCGAAAACGTCGAGAAGCTACTTCGTTTCTTCGCTGGCAACGGGGCAGCAGGTTCCGGGGTCGAGACCTTGAGGCTTCCTTGGCGGGAGAGGCGCTTCTTAGCTTTTCGGCGTTCCTCGCGGAGACGTTCGACCTGTCACTCGATTAGCGAGAACAAAGAGCGGTCGGTGGTGGTGGACAAACCATAGGGAGAACATCTTCCTGCTCCGGACTCCAGTTCTTGTTCGCGCGGAGTAGCTGCTCTTCGAGGCGAGCAAGTTCCCGCTCCTTTTCTTCGGTCCATACGCGTTCGGGAGAGGGGCAGTAGTCGACCGTGTCGAAGCTCATAGTTGCATCGAGACGGAGGTCGTCGGAGAAGTCGATGCTCTGTCACGCATCAGCAAGGTTTCCCAACGTAACGAAGAGAGAGAGCAGAGCATACCCTCTCCTTCCTGCCCCTAGTCACCGTGCCCTCCTCCTTCAGCTCCTCCTGCAGCGCCTCCTTCAACCTTGCAATCTCCTCCCTCTCCTTAGCAACCTCGCTCCGCTCCGCCCTCAATGCCTTCTCCTCCCGCTCCAGCCTCGAAACCTGCACGTGCAGCGTGCGCATCAACCTCGTCACGCCCGACGTGAACTGCTTCAAATCCTCCGCATCGTGGACCAGAGGGTGATGATGACCTGACACCCGCTTCTCATCAACGTTACCAGCCACCGTGGCCACACTCCTCAAACTCGGCTCACGGCTTTCAGGGGAGGAGGAGGAGGGGTACATCTGCGAGAAGCGTTCGAGCTCAGCGCCGTGGCGTCGCAGGGTCAGCTCAACGTCCGCGAGGGCACGATGGAGCGATTCCAGCACATCTTCAGCCGTGTTCTCGCCGGGGCGGTTCTCGAGCAGGGCTGGGTGCGCGTGGCAGTGCGGGCAGCGGAGAAGACTCTTTTCGACAACGGATAGCAGGGATTTGATGGGCTCGACGTGCCCGCACCGCGTGCACGGTGCCGTCACCAGGTGGTGCGAGTTGCGCTTCTCGGCCGTGCAGCTGAAGCTTACCAGCGAGCTGAGGGAGCCGCGGGACGGGATGCGGGGGAGAGTGGTCAGCGTTGCGGTCGCGGTTTCGGACATGGCAGAGCGAGGGGGGTGATTAAGGTGGTCGAAGGTGGCTGGGAAGCTGGGTACGACGGGCAAGCGGCATCAATCGACCAGCGGGAGGGCTGGCGGGGGAGCAGTTGCAGCGGGAGCGGCGAGCTTGCGTGTGATTATCGCAGGAGAGAGGGAAGAGGCAAGAGAGGGAAGAGAAGAGAGGAAGAGGCAAGAGCGAGTGAGACAGCAATCAGGGGATGCGATGTGTAGGAGGAGAGGAGCAGAGCAGTGCAGAGGAGAGGAGAGCTCGGAGCCTTATCTCCGGTGACGTTCGGGGCGGGAGCTTTGCTCAGCTAAGCTTGCAGACACGTGCTCGTGAGTCAGCAGGGCTAGCCCGTGCTTATGTAATCCCAGCTTGCTGATTCGCGTCACTCGATCGCGAGACACCAAGCAAGCAAGCAAGCAAAAGAACGAGAAGCAACGCAGCAGGCGTGTGCTTTATAAAACACGCGGAGATGCAACGTTGCCGTTACATGCAAATATTTTCGTCTCGTTGCTTTTTTTTTTTTTTTTTTTCTCTCACTGCGCGTCTGGCCACTTGCCGCAAGGGGACGCGTGCAGGGATGCCTCTCTCGCTCGCCGCGCGCATTGGACGGCGGTGGAGACGTGGTGTTGTTGATGCGGTTGCTGCGCCAACGGAGCAGGCAGCAAACGGCCAGGCCCCTGGAATGCTCCGCGTGACCATCGTTCCAGCAGTGAGTGCCCTGCGATCGAACTCAATTCGAACGACAGCATCAGCAGCAGTCCTGCATGCATACATACATACATATGCAGACTTGAAACAGCAAAGTTTTTTTCTTCGTCTCTCTTGCAGATAGATATTTGGTGACCTGTAGAATGTGCACGATGCCGGTTACTCGTACACACATGCAAACCCACCCGCGGCAAGCGTACTCGCCGCCCCCCCCCAGATCTCAAAACCTGCACGCATCGACCAGCCATGCCCATGGCAGAGCTCATATCGTCCCGTGACGTGAGCTTCGCACACCACCACCGCGCGCAGGCAAGGTCTGTGCGCATCGCGATCCTCGGAGATCACTTGCCCAACCTCCCACGGACCGACCGAGCTTGAGGTTTTGTGGATCGTTGCGTCGACACTCTAGATACACAGGTATGTGTCTCCGGAGCGTTGAAGCCCGTTGTTTTCGTTCACGATCTTTGCGGCAACCCATCGACAGCGAAGAACACTGCCTGCAGACAAAGAATTCATTCCCCCGGATCTCCTTGTCAGCGGCGAGCGGCCTCTTCCGAAGCAAGCTGCTCCTTCTTCTTCAGTTCACTGTTCTTCAAGGTGTCAGTCAGCAGAAATCACAAATAACAAATAGATCCATCGCAACGCCGAAAGGGAAGAAAAAGAAAGAAAAGCCAAAGAAAGAAAGAAAGAAAAAAAAAAAAAAAGATCAACCAAACTGCTCCAGAGCGGAATCGAACCGCCGATCTTATCATTACGAGTGATACGCCTTACCACTTGGCCACTGGAGCTGAGGATACCAGGTGGCAAACGATCGAGACTATGTTCTGCTCAGCGGTGGTGGTACACGAGTGATTCCCAATGAAGCCACCACCATAATTTTTCCCAACCCGGAAGATGAGGTTTACCTACCCGAAGAATGCAGGAGGATGGGTTTTCGCTACCTCCAGCTGAAGTCAACGGACATGACGGTTGCGCCGCCACCGGGGACGCTGCGTGGTTGCGGCAATATCGAAATGAAAGCGGGGGACATGGCTGGGTCTCCAGTCGCCTGCCTGCCGCGGCTCTGCGTTGCATCAGCAGTCCCAGCAGCCGGTATGTCGCTGCCTCCGCTGCCGAAGCAACGGGAAGTCATCGGCTGCGACCGGTGAAGACAACGACGCGGAATCAGACGGGACAGCCGACGGTCCACGGCCACGACTTCCCACGCCGCACCATTCCTCAGCGAACTATGGCGATCATCCATCCAGCTGAGTTACTGTGCTCCAGTGGTTGGGTTTGCAGCCAGCCAGGCCCGCTTTTTTTGCGGAGTGTGTGTGTGTGTATGTGTGTTCCATTGTGAATTGTGAATTGTGAATTGTACATACGGCCTGGTACTGCCGCTCGAGAACTCGTGCGGATTTTGTTTTAATCATATCGCATTCGACCGCATGCGATCATGGCATATAAGTATAAGAGGAGAGACGGACTGTGCTACCCCTTAGCCACTGGGACCTGCGGCTCTCTCAAGGAAAGGAAAGCAAGGAAATCGCAAATTGTATACAGAAAAGAGAAAAGATTGTGGCCACCTCCTGCCGCCCGGAACTCGTGCGGAGCCACAGGCGTTGGACATTTGGAGGGGGGGGGGGGGATCAAATTTATTGTCTGCATGCAGCCATTCCGGACACCCGTCTCCTCGTCCTCCGACGCCACAGCCGCGATTGGTGTCCCGCAAAAACAGCATCTACCGACCGCCACCGGATCCGGCTTTCTGGTGTAGTCTCTGCGTGTTCGCCGAGGCCGTCGCTCTGCGGATGGAACCGCCGTTGGCAGTTGCGTTTTTGCTTGATGGGCTTACCTGCTGGCTTTGGCCGGAGGTATCGGTCGCAGGAAAGAAGCTCCAAGCTCTGCCGTACTACTTGAGATCGGAGCGCCGCGTTTGATTCTGATGCCAACGCTTTGCTTGGCTGAAGCGCTACATAGCTCAGTGCGGAATTCAGCAGTCAACAAAACACCCGTGCTGTTCGTGAATCATTACCCACGGCCAGCATCATCATCATCACCATCACCATTTGTGGCCCGGCTGTGTCGGCAAGTTATATTCAGCTGCCAATGTGTATGTATAGTGCTCCAGGTTGGCAGGTCGATACCAGCACTTTGTTAGTTTTTTTTTTCCGCCGCCACGTTCTCGGGCGAGATGCAGTCGATCACGTGGTGCCAATATTGCTTTGCCCGCGCACAGCAGCTCTTGGTCTAGAAGCTCCAGCAGCCTGAGCACACCAAGAGAAAGCAACGGGTTTCCATTCTGCGAGGCAGCTGGCCATGGCGGCGGTATTCGGCTGGGCGGGAGGGATATGTCAACTGTCGTGCGAGTGCGGGCCTGCAGGTAGGAGGTGCTGGTGCGGCTGCTGTGCAACCTCACCACCACCACCACATCTTGTCGGCCGTCACCGAATTGGCGGCCCCCCGCCATGTCGCCTGCAACTTTGCGATTTGCTGTCCCGGCCTTATCGTTGCGCATGTTTCTCGGGAGAGTCGCAAGGAGGACGAGCTTTGCCAACCGGCTGGGGGAGGTGGTTGCAGTTGTGGCTGGCAAGCATCGCTGCGGGTATGCAGGCGGCCGGCCACGAGAGCTGACAGCTCCCCTCGCCAGAAGTGGCCGTGTCTATTTGCGACTCTGCCTTCCCCGTCGTGGGTATTTGCGATGATGATGATGATGGTGACGAAGATTCAGCCTGCGAATCCGCGGCTCTGTGATCTGTGACGCACAATCTCGTCATTGCGGGAGTGGCGAAATATAGAAAAACCAAACCCCCGGAAAAACCCTCCGGTTTGTTGGATCCGCTTGGGCAGGCCCAGAATAGAGCAGAGTAACGCTGAGCCCATCTGCATGCGCCACGGTACACAATTGCAGGAACCCCCCCCCCCACATCCCGCTCATCTTCACCTGATCTAACAACTCAGAACCATTCCAGCTCGATATCAACACATCTCTCGGCCGAACCTCGGCATCCGGCGGCCGCCACCGCCAGATCGGAATCATCAATGACCTGTCTCGGCTGCGCCGATGCCGGGTGGTTACTTATGGCAAAGATGGACAACCAGAGCGGGGCAGCATGCTTTGAATCGACGGGCACTCCTTCTTCTTTCGCAACGATAACCAGCCATCGCTGCAGCCATCAAATCGGAAACGTGGGTTCTCCGCTGCCGCAAGCCGCCGTCCTAACCAGCTGCCCAGATTTTTTTTTCTTCGCATTTCCTTAAGCGGCGAGGAACATTTGCGATATCAAGATGCGAGATCCACGCGTGGAGTCCTGGCTGGACCTCAACAGCGGCACCAGCACGCCCGAATCTCTCTCCAGAATGTCGTCTATGCGTATACAGACCGTGGAGCAATCCGCGGTGGACCTGGAGCAGGCGACGGAAAAGCTCAGGACTGTTGCCGACTCGCCGCTGTCGGACGGCAGCACGACGAATTTAAACCCCTATGAGGAGATGAGCAGGATCCCGCCGATGCCGATGGCCAGGGCGGCGGGACTGGCGATCACCTTGATGGGCGCCGCGTTTTTGAATGTTGGTATCTACCTCTTCCGCTGGGTGTTGGCCGTGCAAGACTGAGATGGGCGTAGACGCTGTCGGTGCAGGCGATGGTGATAGCGATGCCCTCGATTGGAGAGCAGTTACATATGCCGCCCGAACGGTACCAATGGATCATCACCTCCTACTCGCTGACGTTCGGCTGCTTCCTGCTGCTGTGGGGCAAGGTCGGGGATATCTACGGGAAGCGGATGGTGTTCTTGCTGGGCGGGGTGTGGGTTGCGTTGACCTCGCTGGCCACGGCGTTCAGTCCGACGGAAATCGCCTTTGATGTGCTGCGCGCGCTGTCGGGGCTGGGGGCGGCAGCGAACGTCCCCGCCGCGATCGGGATCCTGGGCACCTCGATCCCTCCGGGAAAGGTGAAGAACTACTCCTTCGCGATATACGCGGCGGGCGCGCCGTTAGGCGCCATCTCCGGGACGCTGATCGTGAGTTTTTGTCGCAACCGTCTTTGCGGTTCCTGCAGCGCGCTGACATATGTGGACAGGGCGGTCTGCTGACGCAATACGCTTCCTGGAAATGGATCTTCTACCTGGTGGCCATCGTGTCTGCCGTGATCACGGTCGCCGCATACTTCATCATCCCGCGCAGCAAAAAGGCGGCCAACCCGGACCCCACCGCACGGAAAATGACGCTGGACTGGTTCGGCGCGTTGCTGATAACCACCAGCCTGATCCTGCTCATCTTCACGCTCTCGCAAGGCAGCACGGGGCACAAGGGCTGGGAGAAGCCGTACATCCCGAGCCTGGTCCTGGTGTTCGTGATATTGTTCATGATCTTTGTCGGCTGGGAGTGGTGGCTGGAGAACAAGACCGAGCGCGAGCCGCTGATGCGGATGAGTATCTGGTGCCACACCGGCTTCACCATGAGCATGATAGTGACGGGCTTTTTCTGGGCGAGTTTCAACAACTACATGGTGTACGCCACATTCTTGTGCGTCTCCCTCTTTCTCTCTCTCTCCCGATGTATGCGCTGCGTATATGCTGACGCATCGCCACCACCAACAACAGCTACCAAGACTTCCTCGGGCTCAGCCCGATCAACACGACGCTGCGCTTCCTGCCCACGGGGATAGCCGGGTTCCTGATAACCGGGGTGTCCGGCTACCTGCTCAGCCGCGTGTCGGGGCAGTACATCCTGATGGTCGGCGTGATCTGCACGACGCTCTCGTCGGTGCTGATGGCGGCGCCGATCCCGCCGGAGACCACGTACTGGGCGTACGGGCTGCCGGCGATGGTGCTCGCCGTCGTCGGCGCCGACACGGTGTACCCGTGCCTGTCGCTGTACACCACGTCGAGCATGCCGCTGAAGGACCAGGCGCTGACCGGCGGCATCTTCAACACGGTGGGGCAGGTGGGCGGTGTCGTAGGTGTGGGTGGGTGCTGTGCTGGCTGATCTACTGGGCTGGGCGCCGGCATGTGGCCACGGGCCGTCGCGACGATGAGCTGGTGCCGTGGGCGAGCACTGGCTTGGGGTAAACGGCGCTGTGCGTGGTGGGGTGCCCGGTGGCAAGGATGACTGGTGGGGTAGGCGGGGCGGGTGCGCGGATCGCGAGATGGCTGCGGTTGTGGGTGTCTGTGTTGGGTTCTGGCGCTGTCGTGCGGCGCGCGCAGGTGGTCTCCAAACGTCGGGATCTGGCCGCTGGTGGGCGCTTGTGGGGCGGTTTGCGGGTTGTATGGGGCTGCACGGTAGAGCAGTTGGAAGGTGGGGCGTTGCGCGAAGAACGGGAGTGGGAGATTTGGGTGTGATGGGAGGAGGAGTAAGCAGTGACTTCAGTTGTAGGGTTTGTGGTGGGTTGCCTGGTTTTTTGGACGACATGTTGTAGCAAATCCGGGATGGAACTAGTGTGTTGTGGGATGGGACGGATGTAAAGATGAGGGTATGAGGTGTTGGATGGTGCTGGTGTTTGATGGTATGGGTGTATGGAGTGTGTACTATTTACGGAGAGGGGTGTACAGGTTATAAAACATTCGGTCGCTCTTGGATTGCAGCGGTTCCGGGACACTGCCGGTTGTTGTGTTAGGAGAGCTGAAGAATACAAATACAAATGGGGCGATGGGCATTCACTAGGATGCTGTACGTGGCACGGGAAACGCGTGGTGGGGGAGCACTTGTGGGGAGAGAGATGAGGATAGATATATTACTAATTGACTACTCAGATGTAGTGGCCGCTAGCAGCGACTCAGCCGGGCTCCCCTAATACAAGACCCTGGGG